TCAGACAGTGCTTCCAACGTTCCCGATCCTGTGCCAGAGTCTGAGCTTCGGCAAAAGACAAATGCAGTCCTTCACTTTCATCATTTATTTTTTGGCACCCTTCTTTAAGAAGATAGTGCGGTGCTGATCTCGTTTTTTATGCCGTCAGCCAAGAGTGCCTTATTTTTTCTTAAAACAGAGCCTGCAGCCATGTTACAAGCGACGCGTGTAGTCTTCTGTTTTCGTTCCACGGAGCTGTATTAATTTATCAGTTTCGGAAGGATGAAGTGATCCCGACCGCGGCTTCATCTCGGGATTTATCGGTTTCAAGTTCGACGCTCTACCAAATCTGAGCAATCCAGGTCTGAAACAAGTGTGGTAAATTCCTTGCTCAACGGAATTCATGAACAAGGCAAAGATTGCTCCGGAGTTCGAGACAGACCTCTTTGATGTTGCAGTAACATGCTAGATAATTTGCTGTACACGAGCATAATATAGAATATATAACCATTCCTGATATAATCTTGAGTGGTTTTAAAGTCAAGTAAGGATGCACCAGAATCGTAGTTATTCCTGCCTCAATTTTAGACTCCTTTGTAATCAAACAAAACTGATAGAACTCAGAAATTATTCGTCGGAAATTTAAATGCAGACTAGCATGTGTTGAAGTAGGTCTTACGTTTGCGCTTACTCTCTTACTTCGAATTGAAACATGGAAGCGATCTGTTTTACTGCTTTATCCTGGCAATGATGAAATGAGCTATTTTATAGCTATAGTATGTAGTATTTTAGTATTTTAGCATTTTAGTATGTATTCGGTTTTACTGCTCGTATTTGTACCGTTAGACTGAGGTGCCCAATCGGTAGAGCGTCCAATTCAGAATCGACAGGTTCAAGTCCCCGTCGCGTCCCTTGCTTTTTTTAATTCGTTAGCTGATGAGTACTACTCTGTTGAATGGAAACACAAAACTACGCACTATGCTTGCTACGTAGCTTCTGTCAACTCTGACTTTAATGTAAGACAGCGCTGGCTGATGGAACATAGAAATGGAGGTCACTGCTCCGTCATTAACTTCATGAAAATAAGAGCGCCAGAAATGGCCCAAACCATGAAAACGTAACGGAGACCGACATCCCAACGTTGCAAATTTTTGTGGTATTGTTAATAGCCTGGACTATCTTCCATCGCATAGTCATGCTTTAAAGGCGCGAATACAAATGCTCAGTTTCCTTGAATGCGTTCTGTTGCAGTTCGCCGTAGCGTGCCTCCTTAACTTGCTAGAAGCTTGCATTTGTATAAATAGCCACAAAACGATATGAAAATTCTTACTAGGACCCCATACCGCATTTAGGAATTAAAAATCGAGTGTTTAATAGTCATGTGTACAACACACTAGGCTGTGTGGTTAAACATTTTCTTGAGCAGCAATGTAAAAGAATATTCTTCTAATTTTCTGCATAGATGCCACTACAGCTCTGTTGAATGATGATGATGATGATGACAAAGTTGTGCACGAGATTTGACCTTCTATCGATAGTGTCTTAAAAAACGTTAGCTTCATCTTCGGCTAATAAGGCTGAGTTGTTCAAACAGTTGATGAATTTATGCCATTCCTTTGTCAGCTTCGAGCCTCTTAGTTCTATGAAACATTGGCAATTAGAATTTAATGGTTCGTAGTGCCCAACTCAAATTTCATATCAAGCAATTTTCATGTTTTCGGAGTAACGATTAGTTTACAGTGATAGTTGCTGCATCTTGTTTTAACGCTTCTCAGCCCAGACAAATTGTACACTGTTTACAGTGTCCAGGTCAATCGTTGGAGGCATAGACTGAATCCATTGACATACGGACTGCGGTGAGTGGGTTAACTTCTGATTTGTTTGAACCGCACGAAACTTCTCTAAAAGCACTGATTTTCCTCATTGACAAATCTTGAATTCAGTTGTGCAGTTTCAGCGCAGCTGTATCGAATGTAAAATTTTCTCTGGGCCTCGGTTTCATCATATGCAGTTTCTGACGACGCAGCTCACTCTTGTTTTCTTATAGATCACGAAGGTGCTGACTCGAAAGAAAAGTTCCAGCTACAAGGGTTCCCACTGCCTCGTCGGTATGCAGGTGCAGCCGTTCAAAACTCAGTGTAAGTGATGTTGTCGTATTATGAAGTGTATGGTTTATCAATTTAAATAACTTGGCTTTTGCAGATTGTGCAAACGGAATCAAAATCAGCCAGACGCTGGAGAGCACGGTTCTTTATTTCAATGCAAAGAGCGAGAACGACCGCGTGAGGTTCATGGAGGATTTAAGAGAATCGATCAAGGAGGTATGTTTTACGATGAGGTTGTTAAGTTAAGCCACTTAACATATTCTGTTTTTATAGAGCGACGACATGGAGACATTGAGGATCGAGATGGAACTAGAGAAACAGAGCATCCGCAACTCCGCGTTGAAATTCACTCCTCACCGCGTTAATGAGCAACGGGACTCCGGCTTGTCGGATATCGAGCTTGAAAACGTGTCAATCAATCGGCTGAGCAAAGCCAGTTCTCTAGTAGACCTCAGTCCGCAGGCAGCCTGCCTCCCCGTCGCTTCGACTTCCGCTTCTGACTTTGTCGTTGGAAGAACGTTAAGTTTCACATCGCTCGACAGCGGCATGGTATGAAATACCAGATTTTCTTCCGCATATCTCTTAGCAGTACCGCGTACACTGTTGCTGATTTCGACATTTCTTTATCTCCCGAATATGCTAATTTTTGAGAATCATAAAAACAAATGAATGTCCCTTATTCCTTGTTTAAGTTTTTGAAAAAAAATGGCGTCGTCAATCGTTTTTTAACGACTAGGCAGCATTTCTAAAAAATATGACATATGTATACTGTCAGACGCTTGCTGTTGCACTCTCTGATGGGGAACA